TGCAACCTTCCTGCTTTAGCCTCCCGAGTACTAGTGTGACCGGCGTGAGCCACCAGGCAGCCAACAGCCTATAGCACCTGCCTAGCTGGGTGAGTCACGTGTAAGTCTCCACCCCAAGGCCCTCTGCCTCATCCTGGGGTCATTGTCCTCTGGGACTGTGCTGGCCATGTTGCTGGTAAAACACAGAGGCTCCAGGACCTGCTCATGCACTGGATGAGGGCCACAATCTCTGTTCCTCCACGTCACTCACTCCCAGTGAGTAGAGGAGATTGTCACAGCCCTAAGACAGGATTGCTGATCTCACAGCTGGCTCCAGAGCTACCTCAGACACTGCTGAGTCCCCATGCAATGCCCCTGACACTGTTAGCCTTAGGGACATGCACTATGCCCAGCCTCTGGAGGTAGATACAGTGATGTTTCATTTTTAAGGGACAGCAATAATATCCCCAGATAAATATGTGCTGTTGGAAGCTTCAGGGCCTTAGAGGACACTGTCCACAGAAAGGTGAGCAGGTACCTGTCTCTCTGCCTTCCATCTGTGCTGTGCAGGGCACAGGAGACACAGCAACGTGAAGCGGCCAACCCAGGCTTCTCCGGAGTCACCGGGAGAGGATATGGAAACTTACCTCGCCCCCACATTCTCATCCCCACAGAGGAACTTGGGTTCCCTGGAGGGAACAGCAGAGCCCTGGCCATGCGACCATCTGGCAGGATGCCTGGTTTGTCCTGCACACTCTGCCTCCCTCCTGGCTGTGTTCCCAGCTCAAGGCTCCCCTCCTGGCAGGTCACCAGGCACTGGGTCTTAATGAGCTCCACGGGGGCCGATGTTGTTTGTTGGCCTTCATCTTCCTTTGCCAGGATGGTGATGATGAGGAGTCTCTCACTGTGAGAAAGTCCTGCAAGGCAGTCAGTCGCCTGTGTGCCCTCACCCTCACACCACGGGTTTGTTTCTAGTACCCCGTGTGTAGCACTGCCCTGGTCTATGCGGCTAGCTCTGGGATTCCCGGCCTCCCACTTCATAGAACGGCCCTGCTCATCTGAGAGCCAGGAAAGAATGCTTTCTTCTCGGCAGCATCATCATACCCTCCCTCCCCAGCTCTGAGCAGGGGGAATACGTGATACATGGTACTTATCTGAAGCCTTTTACTGAGTGGGGAGAACTCACAGGAGGAAAGTCTCCATAAACAATACCTTTGCCCATCGGTGACTAAGCTGTCAACCTGAGAGACCAAAGGAATCAACAGGTCAGCCTCTGAACACCTTGGGTTGGCAGCGTCTGATCCCTGGAAAATTAAAATGGTGTCGCACACACATAGTCCCTGGCCTGTCCCAAAGTGTGTGAGTCTACCTTTCCGTGTGTTTCACTAACAACCAAATTGTCCCCACTCCAGCTGTGTCACAGAACCAAGGGCACCTTCGTGAGGAGGATGGCTTGATCTTAGCCATCCCCAAGAAGATGGGGTGTTCAAACAGACAGACCAGGAGAGCTGTGAGCAGCGGCTGGTGCGGGCACCACGCAGAGCTGGGCTGAGCCCTGAGCCCTGTCTCTCGGGCGTTGTGCCCTCCCAGGTTAAATTCCTCAGCCTCTCCAAGCCTTCACTTCCTTTCGTGTGACCTGGAAGAACACCAAGTACATCCATCCGTGTTGAATGTCACCACAGCACAGGGTCCACGTGCTTCCCGCTGGTGTCCAGTCACACACAGGATAATAGAATGACTTTACAGAACATTCTACAAGTGTTCACCCGTGCTCCCTGTGTCAACATGTGTGCCAAGCAGCACTCTCACGAGGCTAGCCCATTTGTGCTCTGAGAGTGAAGACTGTTAAGTTCTTTGCTGGTGAAATTACTGAGACCTGGGCTGGAGAGATGGCTCAGCGGCTAAGCGCACTGACTGCTCCTCCAGAGGTCCTGAGTTCAATTCCCAGCAAACACATGGTGGCTCACAACCATCTGTAATGGGATCGGATGCCCTCTACATACTAAGTTTGTGGTCTGTGGGTTTCACTCCAGCTGCATTTAGTTTTTTGAGAAACATTTTAAAGTATACTTATGTACGTATGTATTTACGTGTGAATGTATTTGTGTACACGTGTGTGTATAAGTGTATGTGTGCGTATGACAGAGAGACAGAGGGAGAGTATCTGTGTGTGTACACACATGCATGCGTGTTTTGTGTGTTTGCAAGTCTGCGTGTGTGTATATATGTGTAAGTCAAGTCTGTGTGTGTGTGTTTATATATATGTGTGTGTGTGTGTGTGTGTGTGTGTGTAAGTCAGAGAACAGCCTGTGGGCATCTCTTCTTCCAGCATGTACGTCTAGGTGGAACTCATGTCTCTAGGATTGATAGCCCTTAGGACTAAGCACTCGATGGCCCTTCAAGTTTTCAATATTGACTCAGTGAGACAGACATCAGCTGTCCCCCCTTGGCACTTGCAGGCAGAGGTCACATTCCCAGTGGGACAGGAGCACCCTCAGCGGAGAAATGTTCTTAAGAACATCTCAGCAGGAACCATTTGTGACAGAGATCGAGGCTGGGCTGGAACATGGGAGTTTCACAGGGACTCATGGCATGGAGGTCCCGTGGCTAAGACGGGAACAAGTATCCATCGATGGACATGTGGAAGAACGGTGTCCCCTGTCATAAATGTGGTCCTTCCCCGGCTGTGATCACATGATGCTGAATGAAAGAAGCCAGATACAGAAGGCCTCGGGGCCAACATTCCAGATACAAATGTCCACAGGAACGGAGAGCAGCAGTCAGGGCTGAGGAGGGGGGAGGGGCACCATCACAAGGAAAGTGGCCAGAAGGAGTGGTGGCTTTGTATCGTGTACTCTGTGCTGAGACAGGGAATCAGCTTGCTGTTCATCAACAGAGGAGCAGATGAAGGAAGTGCACAAGGCATACAGACACGCTAGCACATCAGACCTAGAGGGGGCAAGGTGATCTCCGGGCTGCAGCGGCTTGGGAAACACAGTTCAAGTGATCATTTTACCCTGGCTGCTATTGGCTGAGGGGGAAAACATTCCATCATGGAGAGAGTGCAGCACAAGGCCAACGAGGAGGCTGGAACATCCCTGGATGAGAACTCCGGGTACCATTTATGCAGGTTATCTGATGAACAATTAGAGATCTCAGAGTGTCACTCGCAAGAGTGACAGCGTGTGGTGGTGACGTGGCCCCCATGCTGGTGGCAGGTTGATGTGACACTTACAAAAGACTGTGATACTCACAAAGGACGGAGTACTGGCGTGGCCCCCTAAACTGGCCATCTTTAATGCTAGCTGCCCTGCTGTGGAGCATGCAGGGGTGACCTGTGGCAGCTACCACGAAGCACCCTCACAGGCCGCAGGAGGCCAGTCCTGATCCATTCACAAGGACCTCTAGACATGTCGATCCACCCTTACTTTCTTCAAACTGGATAGGGAGAAGACCTCGGGGTGGGGGTGGGGGGAGGACCCTTGGCAGTCACCTCCCTAAGCCTGGGTCTCCAGGTACCAGGCCATCCCCCTCCCCAGCAACTCCAAAGCAAGGGGGCACACAAGTGCTATGGTATTTGGAACACGGCGATTTTTGGGCCTATTTACTACAGAATTATATCAGTATTAGCCTGGTATAATTGTCACTGATGTTCTAGTTGTACAGAATTTTTACCCATGGAAGGGAATGTTCTCAAACCCCCAGGCTTCGGGATGCTCAGAATGGGGGTAGGGGGACAGTAAGAAGGCTGTGAAGGGCTGGGCTTGATGGTTTTTCTATCCGCCCACCTACCCAAACAACGGGGCCTAGGTTTACACACACAGCAGGACCTTACCCTCACCAGGGCCTAATACAGCAGCAGCCTGCCTCCAGGCAGCCTTCAGTGGGGCCATCATGCCTCTAAAACCAAAGGCAAGCAAGTGATGTCACCCAGCGCTGGCCAGGCATTTGGTGATCTGGCTCTGCCGGCCACATGGGCAGGAGGCTGTTTAGGCCAGGCAGTACCTTCCACAAGACAGTACACCCATGACAACCGTCAGCATCCTCCAATAAAGAGCCCAGTGGCAACCTGGCCTCTTGATTTTGCCCCCATACATATTCCTTCCTTCCGTGCAAACAAAGCCAGATAAACGGATAGCATGGGCCACACCTGGATGGTAACATCCACAGATGCTTTTAAAGGAAGTCTTGGCCCTCCAGTCCCCCACCTCCACTTCTTGTCTGGAATAAAGCAAACAAACAGCTGTCTTTATAGAAAGGGGACCTGGGGCTGGCCTGGCTCCATTTAATACGGCAAGGAAGATGGAAACACTTCCAAATGAGAGCGGAAGCCATCTGTGCAACACTGTCCGCAATGGTGCTCTGAGATCGAAACAACGCCCTTGCTAACTAGGGAGACAGGGGTGGACCAGCTTTCAACAGCTTCCTCCTGAATACCGCTGCAGACACTGGACCTGGGGCGCTAGCCACGAGTATGTGGGTGTGTGCACTGGGCAAGTTCTAGGTCCGACTGGGGAAGACGTGTCCTCCTGTCTGGCTTCTTTGGCTAGCAGCAGTGACAACAGAGGCCACTGTCCTGGCTGTCCCTCCTTGAATGCGCAGTTCTCCTTTGGCAGACAGAAGGCGTCCTCATCTGACAGCTGGACACTTCCAGCTGTTCCCAGGGCCCAGAAAGTCTGCACTCAGCAAGACATTTGTCAAATATTAGAAGAAAACTAAAGTCAGCTATTTTTTTTTTCTTCCACCTTGTTCAGGAGAGAGACCCTGCTTTGTCCTTACTTGCTACTGAATGAAAGCGGGCAGGCCACTGGCACAGTTTCTCTCGTTAAGTTCGTTTATTAATTGTTGTACAAAAAAAACAAAAATCAAAAAAAACAAACAAAAGACCCAAAAAAACCCCCAAAAAACAAAAAACAAAAAACCCTTGGCATTCATTAGAAGTTGCTATAACCAAATATTTAGTATTTTAACATTGTGAAAGTTCTACTTTTTGTAACAGGGTTTTTGAAAATGGAGAAAACTTTTGGAAAAATCTTTAAAAAGAAACTTATGATTTATTAGAGTACAGGATCCAAAACACATTTTTAGAAAAATATAAAGTGCCCAAATACCAACTTACACCGGTGATATAGGCTCCCTCAGCCAAACGAAGCCTTCGTGAAGAAACACATTTAAAAACAGTCTAGGTACATATTTACAGTCGGGTCAGGGAGGGAAGCCATCTTTCTCAGCTTTGACGTTTCTCTACAGAAAAAAGGAAATCAAAGCAGAAACCCAGCAATGGCAACTCCCAGCATGCTCCACAGCTGCTCGCTACTGGGATGCAAGCCTGCGAGTCCTCCTGGGTTGCTTCTCACCTTTAAATGAGTAGGTGTAAAATCCCCAGACCTCAGGCAGATGCTCTGAGTAGCTAAATTTCCAAATGCAAGTTCAAACCCACCTCTGACTGGTTCTGACTGGTGAGGTACAGACTGGACAGGAACCTTTTCAAGTACAAGAGTCTCAGGCTTCCCATCCTTCTAGAGACTGCCTCATCAGTGGTCTGCCTCAGTCATCCCGGGACGGTGGAGGGCAATGGAGGAGGGAGCGCGCATTTGGATCGGTGTGAGGATACACATGCGGAAGGCAGGCAGGCAGGCAAGGCTGGCAGGCAGCCCCCTACAGCTCCGCTCACTAGAGCGACAGCATTTTAAATGTAGGACAGACGTGTCATTGGCCTGATGGGTAGTTACCTAAGGGACTGCTTGTCTGAGGACCAGGTGGCACCCGCTAGGATCTGGTAAAGGCTTGGTCCTTTCACACTTGTGGACAGCATCAGGCAGAAGCCAGGGGTGACCTGAGGCTAGACCTCAGCCAGGAGTCAGGATCTCATCCTGGAGCCTTCAGACTGACAGCGTAAAGCCCGAAGCATGCACTCCTCTTCCCATAAGCCCAACACTCTCAAAATGACTCAAAGGAGTGACAGGGAACACAGAGCCTGTCTCCCTGGGCGAGGCTTCCTCAGGTCATTCTCCTGATCAGAAGAACAGACCTGTTCTCTTGGTTTGGGGACTGGGAGGGACAAGTTTGAAGAGCAATTTTCATTCGAAATGCAGGCCTTACTACTGAAGCGGGCCCATGAGCAACCTAAGATCCACTCGTGATCCTGTAGAAGATTCCTAACGTTAAACATGGAGTAGTCATCTTGAAAGAGCAGCTGGTGAACGAGAGAGCTTCCCTCGGGAAGGCCATTGCTGCACATCTGCTCAGAGAACCAATGGGACAAGACAGAAGCTCACAACAGGCAGAAATGTGCACAGACCCAGCAGGAGAGGGAGATACTGTCCTTCTCCCAATTTAAATTAAAAAGAAAAAAGGAACACTTGAAATCTGTGTTTCTGTATTAGCAAAAAACCGAACCGTGACCATCCCGACTCCCGACTCCACGCCTTCCTGCGAGTATAACCCAGCACAAGGCAGAGGCGGCGGCCCTCCCTCAGCGGCCTGTGTTCCAGATGAGGAGACATGGCCCCGACTGTCCAGCGGGAGGGACGCTGACACAAGGTAGATGGAGACAGGGATGGGAAGGGGGTGAGAGGACAGAGTGGACGGTGAGACCTCATGAAGACAGAATGTCACACACTGTCACCACGGGACAAGCAGACGAGCCATGCCACTGGACACGGTGCCTTTCGACTGGTTCACTAGTGTAGCGGAGAGCAACGCTGTCTGTGGCTGGAGGAGCACACACCATCTAAAGTGGGGAGGCAGCCAGGCTGCTGGTGACGTGGCTGTCCTGTGCTGACTCCAGGGGCAGCACTCGTCCTTCAGGAATCCTGTTCCCCTAGAAGGTAGCAGCAGCGGCAGCAGCAGCAGCACAGAGGTGACACCCCCAGAGTTTACTCGGCCGTGTCCTCCTTTGCACTGTAAATGTTCTGCACTGTCTCGTACACAAACTCCAGGTCCTCGGGGTACCGGATCTCCAGCTCCGCATTTGGGATGTAGTGTGTACCTGTGAACTCTGAGAAGTAGCGCCCCACATCTGGGTGCGAGATCTCCTGAGGCTCCACGTTGTACTCCAGGTTTTCTGTTGGCAAAGAGGCAGCAGACACCGCTGTTAGCATTTCGCTTTCCCAGTGGCGCTCTGCTGAAATCCTTCTGCTGCCCCTGCCGGGGGAACTTTAGTAACAGAGTGAAAGTTACCAGCAGGGGTGTTCTGGTGTTACAGGTATTACTCAAATGCAGAGGTGGCAGCCAGGGGGAGGGAGCAACAGTGGCACAGGTCCCCTTCCCTGTGGCTCTGCTCAGAAGACCTATCTTTCTATTCTCTGAGAGAGACGTTTGGCTCTGAGACTTCCAGTGGCACCTTTGGGATACTCTTTGCACCCCTCATCTGGCTTAGCAAAGACCTGGAGCACAGAGTAGACGCTCGTCACCTGCACATCCGCCATCCTCCCTTGTCAGAACCAGTTGGTCCTTAGTCTCAAACCTGCCACCCTGTGCACAGAGAAGAGTCCTGGCCACACAGCAACCGTTCTCCAACTGAGTCCTCCCTTGGGGCAGCACCTCCTGGGTGAGCTGGTGGCTGCAGCTGCACCCACACCCTGCTTGGTCCCTAGGACACAGCCTGTCTGCATCCTTCCCTATCTTGACTTCGCCACTGGAGAAAGGGACAGGGCACATAAATAGAGGAGCAGATCTTCCAGGCGCCACAGGGAAAAGACCATAGCCCTTCCTCATGGCCCGGCATCAGAGGACAGGGGACCACAAGGCCCCATTGCTGTGAAAGTCCTGCCAAGAGAGGAGCTGCCCACACGGAATCCGCAGGACTTGTCCCCAGGCTGGGGCACGGGCACAACCCTGCTCTAAAGTTACTTTAGGTAAGTGGGTCCCGAGCAAGGCTTGCCACAAGCAGCACACAGGACAGCCCAGACACCCAGAGGCCTGGAGCCAGGGCTGTTCCTGATGCTTGTCTCCGTGAGGTCGATTGTGGCCAACCACAGATATTTCCGTTTAACCACAGGTCTGGAGGATCTGGGGAAACTGTTGGGGCAGCATCTTCAGAACGGGTTAGGGACATGCCCGTGAAGAGTCACACTGTTGGGAGATTGTCAACACATTAAGACACTAGTATGGAGGCAGGAGCATGACTGCAGACCAGGAGAGAGGACACCGGGTCAGAAACAGTGGCCCTGAGAAAACACCAGGAGGTCTAGCACTTTTGGCTGCATGGTACTTTTGAGTTTGGGGCTTACTCTGGCCAGGCCCTGGGTAGCCTCAGTGCACTGCCATCCTGGCCTCACCCTACAGGAGGGACTGCTGAGGGCTCTGGCTGGGTCAGACCCAGCACCGTAGAGCTGAGGGGACATGTATGTGCATGGAAGGGCTCAGTGGCCTACACTAGTGGCCTACCCTGTCTGCTCGCAATCAGCGGTGACAGCCGTGTCAGTGTCTTCATGTTCGCACTCTTTCAGGCCCCTCAGCGACTATTTCACAGGCTAGCTGCTGAGGCCTCATGCCCCACAGAAACACCACAGAGAGCAGAGAGCCATGGACCTCTAAGGCCCTCTAAGAAAAGAAAGCCCTTGCCCTCAAAAAGCAGGTCTGCCACTGCAGGCAGGACAGGTGACGGTAAAACCAATCAGTTCTACTGGGACTTTTGATTCCTGCTTTGAGGCTAATCTGTTTAGTGCAGTACAGGTTGACGGGAAGCTAAACTCCCCAAAGTCTGAAGGCATTTCTGTGGTTAGCTCTGAGAGCTGCCCTGGGCTGCAGAGGGAATTCAGGGGTACTGCTGAGCGCTCACAGGGTACAGAGCTGCCCTGGGCTGCAGAGGGAATTCAGGGGTACTGCTGAGCGCTCACAGGGTACAGAGCTGCCCTGGGCTGCAATGGGAATTCAGGGGTACTGCTGAGCGCTCACAGGGTACAGGTCCCACCACAGGGAGTTGCCTTGTCCAGTGCTCATCTGCTCAGGTGAGACACCCCGCTCTACACAACTCCTGTACCTGCACAGCCCTGGCCATGGGGACTCTCTCTAGGTGCCAAACAGTGGCCTGTGCAGGGAGTTCTCAGCTTCTGCATGCCTGGAGGAGGGGAAGGAGAGGGAGAGGGGTAAACAGCTTTGTGGGGACATCACAGCCAGGTAGCTACTGCAGGCTTCTGAATATGGCTTCTAGTAACAGGCTGCTCTGGAAAGCCGAGACAAGAACAGTGGCTAACAGTACACGCTCTGGGCTGCCCGTCCCCATCTCCAGCTGGTCTCAGTGCCCTGGCCTGCTGGCCCTCGGAGAACATAGTCTGTTCTTCAGTGCTGGGGAACTGAACTCAGGGTCTCGTGCTTGCTGAGTGATTGTTCTACACTCAAGCTGCATCCCAGCCAGATTTTATGTCTACTTTGAGACTAAGCTGCCCAGGCTGGCCTCAAACTAACGCTCCTGCCACCTCCTGAGTGTGGGGATCACAGCTGTTCACCCCTAAGCACAGAGCCGAAACAAGCGTCTCACAGGAGCAGAGAGTGAAGAGGCCTGTGGCCGTGCATCTGGAGGGGACGCGCCACCTGATACGCCTCTGAAATCTAGCACTCTAAGAAGCACAGCGTGGCAGCTCTCACGAGAACTGTCTTTCGTATTTCATATCAAGTCTGTAGCTTCCTGCTACTCCATGGACACACTCAGAGATACCACCTGGGGGCCGAGCCTGGCACATCCCTCTTTGGGGGACAGTGGCACATCCTGCATACTGGAGTTTGGTATTTATCTCTGTTGCTATCTACACCAAGTGCGCACTGAGCATTTATCTGCATTCTGAAGATCTCTACTCCACCGTTTTACAGAGAGCACAGACCTCTCGGTACTAAGTACGATGTCTCTAGTCGAAGGGTTGTGGGGTGGAGCCACCAGAAGAGTGCACGCTCGAGATGTTACACTGAAATGACTCAGTGGGCAAAGGCACTTGTCACCAACCTGAAGACCTCAGTTTGGCCCCTAGGGCCCACACGGTGGGGAGGACTGACCCCCCACAAGCTGCCTCCCATCTCTTCCTGCCTGTCACAGTCCGTGCCCACCTCACCACACAGAATCCAAACAAGAGAAAGCTACATGGCCCCTGAAACAACCAACTGTCACCCATGTGCAGACTGCTCAGGGCTGAAGTGGAAGAGCAGCGTACGATGTGACAGGAGTTACAGAAGGAGACGTGCCATCCAGCTACGGCTCCTGTGTTCAAAGACACACTAAGACATCACCGGCCTTCCGAGAGGAGCATTCCCGGCACACGGTGGCACCTCAGCAGCAGCCATGAAGTAAGGGGCAGGAGCCAACAAAGGCTGTGCAGTGCTCCCCCTGGTGGCAGCAGGGTGTCACACACAATTCTGACATTCAAAGTTGCCACCCATGCATGGACAGCTATGGACAAGAAAGTCGTCATCGGGGGCTGGTGAGATGGCTCAGTGGTTAAGAGCACTGACTGCACTTCCAGAGGTCACGAGTTCAAATCCCAGCAACCACATGGTGGCTAACAACCATCTGCAATGATATCTGATGCCCTCTTGTGGGGTGTCTGAAGACAGCTACAGTGTACTTACATATAATAAATAAATAAAAAAATTTAAAAAAAAAAAAAAAAAAAAAAAAAAAAGAAAGTCGTCATCACTAACGGCCTCAACTTGGGAAACTAGAGTCACTGACAATTAGATCTCAAGAAAAACAAGCAATACAAAAAAAATTAACCCAGATATCCTCAAAGGGAAACCTAAGGAAGTAGCTTAAAAATGTAGCTCGCTGGCCACTGAGACAGCCCGGCGGGTAAGAGTGCCTGCTGTAAGTCTGAGGACCTAAGTCTGCTTCCAGCATCTGTGTGGGCAGCTCAACAAAAATCCCTCCAGCTCTGGAGGACCAGCAACTCTGGCCTCTGCAGGCACTGCATGTCCACACGCCCAGCCATACATAATTAAATACAAATACATATACACATAATTAAAAGCAAAATAAAGTCTTTTTAAAAACACAGCTGCTCAGACCCTTGAGCTGGCTCAGTGGGTAAGAGCATGGCTGTGTAAAACGGAGGACCCACACAGAGGAGAGAAGAACCAACTCCTAATGCTGTTTCAGCCTCCAGCACATGCTTGGGACACTATACCCCATGCTCATGGCTCACACACACACACAATAACAATAATTTTTAAAAGAAAAAAAAAACATTAAAAATCTAGCTCGTCAAAGTCTCCATCCTATGGCCATGGGCTGTGAGCATCCAACTGTTCTCAAAGACTATAGCACAGGACTCTGGTGGGGAGGGAGTAGGGAGGGAGGCACAGGAAAAGCAGCTCCCGTCTCTGGGCAGGTGCAGCAGACACTCCTCAAGCACAGTACTCCTGAGTCAGCATGGACCAAGTGCTACGGTAAACTGCAGTGTCACAGGTCTCTGGGGAATGACATTCACAGGACACAGTGTGACCCCATGGACTTCCTGTCAACTACAGAAGGGAGTTACCTAGGGTTGAACTCTACATCACCTGGTGTGGGCCATCCCCAGTTCCTCTGGGTGAGGTGGCCTGTGAGGTGGTGATGCCCATGTAGTCAGGCCTCAGACTTCTGCCGGATCACAGAGACAGTGAAGGAAAGGAGTCAGTGAGACAAACCAGAAGAGCAGACAACCATGGCAACCAACAACAAGTCTTGGTGCAGGAGAATGAGATGGACAGCGAGTTCTCCAGTGCCAGGCTCTGCAGAGGGAGTGAACCACAGTGGGAACTGCGGAGCCGAGCCTGTCACACCGCAGACGGCTGCCCTGTGACACTGCACAATGAGGAAGCTGGGGAACACCAGCTGTTAGTTATGTGGTTTAGTGTTGCTGCAGCTCTAGTGCGCCACAAGGCAGGATCTGGTAATGTTCCTTCAAACACTGGCAAAAAGTCCACATCTCTATTCACTGACAAAACAACCAGACAAGGAACCCACTGGCAGCAAACAGGGCACCGTGTGGACAGTGTCTCCAGGAGCAGGCAGGGAGGAATATGAGGAGCACCGTGTGGACAGTGTCTGCAGGAGCAGGCAGGGAGGAG